AATTTAGAATAAAAAATTTATAAATATTAAAATTTAAAATTTAGATATATTAAATATTATTTTTTAAAAATAATTATATAAATGATGAACAAAGCTAAATTTCATATTCCCTTTTGTTTCTATATTTTAAAATTTTTTATTTTATTCAAAACGTTTGATTATTTAATCAATCTATCGTAAGATTAAACATGAGGATAATGAAGCCATTTTATGCGATATTAGTGTAAATAAAGCATAAGACAAAGGATATGAAAGGGCCAATTTAGCTCATATTTAGTATAAGGGCAAAACTTTACTCATAAATGTTTGGAATAACTTGCAAGAATGATTAAAAAAAAAAAAAACTTACAAGAATGGATTATACATGTAATGGTGAATGAAATAAAATGAACACAATTAACATTAAACCATAATATAATAATAAATTAAATATTTTATCTAATCTTCTTGTAATTAGTAGTATTTAACATAAAAAAAAAAAAAAGTTTTGAGAGATTAGAACTCCGCGAATCATGGATAGTACATTGGAGCCAATCACGATTTATTGGTTCACGGCAAAAAATTCCTCGGAATTGGCAATCCCTCGATTTCGGCTTTATTTTTTAAAATGAATCTGTCGTTGACTTATCAACATTTATAGAGGATTTTTTTCATTAATTAAAAAAAAAAGAAAATAAAATTTGTAAAGATCCTCTTTTTCTGTCATTTTTTTACCAACTGGGAAAAATCGACGTTCAGTAGTCATGCGGTGGCGTATGACAAATTTGAAATTTTTAGATTTAAATTTGAGTAGGAATTTGATTATATCTATGCAAGTATTATACTCTTCTTTTCTTTTTTATGCTTGAATCAAAATAATTAATATTTAAAATATTTATTTTGATCCAAATTTAAGGATAAAATATTATAATATTTTTACTGTGTAAGTAGATTTCTCTCTAAAATTTAAATCATTAATATTCTATTATCTTACTAATTGTTTCTAAGATATTAACAGTAAAAATTTTTAATTTTACAAGTGAATTTAAAGTTTAACAAATGTTTATTTAGGATGAAAATTATTATTTTATACATTAACAATGGAGATTTTTAATTCTACAAGGAAAATTAAATCATTGGCAAATGTTTATTTAGTAATTATATTGATGGATTTTGAAGGGTTCCATTTTGTAATCTGAAGCCTCTATTTGAGATTTTGACATATTGATGGATAATGTTGATGTTCCAATCTTAAAGCCTATTAGGTTCAAATTCTAAATTTTCATCCCAATGAGTAGATTATATGAAAATTTTGGTTTCAACTTAATTAGGGTAGGGTTTCGCTGAGATCCTGCGTTTGAACCATTACAATGTCGCTGAGACTTTTTTTTTTTTTTTTTTGATTATCTTACTGTGATTTAAAAAAAATTATATGTTTGAGCCCAGATCCACAAAACCCAACCACATAAACCTGTATATGCAGTAAGCGGTGGTCCGCGGACTTGATTTGGACTGAAGGATAGTTATGTAATTGCAGTGAAAGACCAGAGGTTCCTTTTGTGTTCATTTCAAAAAACTTGGCTGGTCGATTGCTAGGCTTCTTATTTTGTATCCGGGAAGCAGGCGTTGAAGGGTTGTTCCTGTTAGATAAGCTGTTCTCCCTTCTTCTAATTTCCGATATTTCATCGAACAGTTGAAGGTTTAAAGCACCCTACGACGCCATGTACGGATCCAGAGGGTAAGTTCGTCAAAACCCTCATGTTAATTTTCTTGAATGGAATTAGGGCTTTCTGTGCTCAGTCTGATTTTGTATTGAGTTTGAAAAAACAATTAAAAGAAATTGGAGATAAGAATTTCTTATCTTTCTATGTATAACGTGCCTTAGATTCCAATTTTATTCTAAGAAGTAATTTCAAGGGTTTGATGAATTTGCTTTTGTTTTATGAAATGATACATAAGAATATGGAAACAGCTACATTGGTTTGTAGCATGATCACATTTGGTGTCTGTATGATTCTTAATCTTTATGCTGTAATGAAACAGTTTGGGTAAGAGTGAAAAATAGAATTCTGTTCTCTGTAAACCAATCTGTTTGTAAAAATAACTTACGCCACGTGATTTTGACTTTGCCGCATGATTTATTTCTTTATGTTTATGTTTTAAGGAGGGTGATGAATATGAAAATGCTATTAGAATATATATTAATGTGGGAATTTAAGAAACTAGGTGTTCGGGAAGTGTGGGTTGGGTTTGGTTTTATTAACAGGTTTGGTGGGGGACTTATTTTGTTTTTTGCTTTTTGGGTATGGATAATTGAAGGGCAATGTTGGGAAGCCGGGGAGTTTCCGACGGGTACGTGGTCAGCTCAAAGAGATAAAGAATGATGGAATCAAATCCCTACTTTGCAGTGAGCAGCTATTAACCTTACAGTTATGGTTGTGGCTGCCAGTCCCCTCCCTTTCCTGTGGTACGTCTCAGGGGTCTCCCCTTCAACTGCACTAATATTGACATTTTCAAATTCTATGCTGGACTGGACATTGTGGACATTTTGCTGGTCAACAAGAACGGAAAGTTCTCCGGAGTGGCCTTTGTTCTCTTTGCTGGGTCCATGCAGGTTGAGTTTGCTTTGCAAAGAGATCGACAAACCATGGGATGCCACTATGTGGAAGTGTTCAGGTGCAAGAGGCAGGATTATTACCACGGTGTGGCTGCTGAGGTGAATTATGAAGGAATCTATGATAACGATTTCCATGGAAGTCCTCCACCATCTTGAGCAAAGAGATATAACAATAAGGATCAAATTGAATACACTGAGATACTGAAGATGCGTGGTCTTCCCTTCTCGGTGAAGAAACCTGAAATTGTTGAATTCTTTGGAGACTTCAAGATTGTGGAAGATGGGTTACACATTGCATGTCTTTTTATGGGCTCGTCTTTACAGATCAACCAAAATTTATGGGCTCGTCTTTACAGATTAACTGTTGGCCCAACGAAAAACCATTTGGAATTCATGCCCATAAACGTTCGAAACGAAATTCTTTACTCCTTCTAGTCCAAATGGCCTAAACTCTGATGATAAAGGCCTAAATATCATTGGGCTTGCCCTAAATTAGCGCTATGCGTAAATCTAATTATGTTCATTAAACACCGTTTTATCGGACAATTTAAAAAAAAATATGTTTCTATTTCTGCATTTAAAATTTTATTATTTTTTAAATACTCCCCCAACAAAATTAAACTTGAATTGATAAAGAAAAAAATAATTAGTCTTTTTATCAACCGAATTAATAAACACATTCTTTTCCATTGAACTTGATTTGATAAAAAAAAAAAAAAACCTTTTTACCAGCTGAATTTTTTATTGCCTTTGGTTATTATAGATGATAATATAATATCTACAATAACCAAAGGCAATAAAACAAAATAGATGATAAAAAAACTTTATAAAAAATCATAATTTAAAAATAAAAAATTATAGAAAATAAAATTTGAATTATAGACTTATTAAATATTATTTTTTAATTATAATCAATTGATGTAAACTTTTAAATCAATAATCATTATTTCATATATTATACACGTATAAATTTTATATCTTATTAATAAATTAGATGATAATATTTTATTAATAAATAAATATTAATTTTTAAAATAAATTTACATATATTAAAATTTTTAAAAAATTTATTTATTAATAAATTATTATTAATTAATTTAATATATTAATAAATTATTATAATTTATTTTACTAATAATATATAAAATTTATACGTTAATAACATCTCAAATATAAATTTCATATATAAATGATGCCTATTCGACGACCGAAGCCGTGGCACAACTAAGATTCGGCCTGCCCGCCCTACATAAATATTCCAAACACCTGGCTGCCGGACACTAAAGCCTTCAGCGTTGAATGTTCAAAATCCCATTCGATTCTCTGCCCAAAACATCGTAAAATACTCTTCCATCTTAGCTGGACAATCCTCCGTCTGTCTCCAAACACCGCCTTATGTTTCTAATCAATCATACATTATTAATGCCGTTCCTACCAACTCATTACATATGTTACTTCAGCCACGCCCAAAGATTCACTAATCACGCCTCCTTACTCATCCTTAAATGAACCGCAATTAATCTCATCCATCCAGACAAATGTTTTCTCGCTGATCCCGCAAATCCAACGGCTGTTTGGTGGTTAAAAGAATTACCCAATTCTTTTAAAAAGCCTATCATATTTTTAATTTTGTAACTTTCTTTAGCTTTTAATATATACATACATATATATAATAAAACACCGACCTATTTGTAGTAACATATAATCCATCTGTGGTTATGATTTGAGCTAAATTTTTATAATAAATATTAATTTAATAATTAATTACATTTAAAAATTTTGATTTTTTTTTATAAATCATAAAATTACATTTTTTTCTACTTTTTGTTGATTGCATGAAGAAAACTTATATGAATCCACAATGTTTAATCTAGTTTGTAGAGAGTGAGTTTCCTTATTGTCTATAAAAGCTTAATTTTTGTGAAAAAAATTTTTAAAAATAAAAATTTTAATGCATCACAAACATATAAAAAAAAATTCTTAAATTATTCAACATAAAAAAATAAAATCAAACAAAACTAATATTTACAATATATATCTGCATTATAAAAAAAAAACTAATTTTTGGGTACAATATATTTTATTTAGTTTAATTAGTAATACTTTTTATACTCCAAAAAAATACATCATTATTTTTTAAATAAAAGATATATCAATTATTAAATTAATATTAAATTAATTTTTTTAAAAATTTAAAAATAAATAAATTGCTTAGTACTTAATTCATAAAAATATATATCATATTTAATAACTTAAAATAAATGATTCATATCATTTATTTGAAATAATCTCATTAAGCAATCACCGATAAAATTCAAATTTAATATTTTTTTTATAAAAAAATTTTTTAATAAATTGAACAAATTTCTTATTAATTAAATTGAAAACTATATTGACGTGTTAGCACAACAGAATTTAATAATAGTTCCCTAGAACTCGGGTGTATTTTATCATTTTCTCTTCACCTACGATAAAGTGAGTCCGACTTTCTAACTTTCCGATTGTTCTCTTCGTTTCGGTTCGAAAACACATTTTCCCGGAAACCAGAAAAAAAAATCAAAAATAAAATCCGACAAATTAAAGTATAAACATGGAGATTTTAACCTAGCAAGCTTTTCTATATAACTCTTTGAATCAATTTGAAAAACAGAACTTAAGACAAAAAATAAAAACAGAAAACAGAAACGGTTAGCTGCTCCGGAAATGGCGGACGCGTTTTGTTCGGACTGCAAGCGGCACACGGAGGTGGTTTTCGATCACTCGGCGGGCGACACGGTGTGTTCCGAGTGCGGGTTGGTGTTAGAGTCACACTCGATCGATGAGACATCGGAGTGGAGAACCTTCGCCAACGAGTCGGGCGATAATGATCCCGTCCGTGTCGGTGGTCCCACCAACCCACTTTTGGCGGATGGCGGTTTGTCCACCGTTATCGCTAAGCCTAACGGTGCTTCTGGAGAGTTCTTGTCGTCTTCGTTGGGTCGGTGGCAGAATCGTGGATCGAATCCGGATCGTGGGTTGATTCTCGCTTTTAAAACAATTGCTACCATGTCTGATAGGTATTTAATTTCTTTTTTGTTGGTGTTTTGGATGATTTTTTGGAATTGGTCTTTGGTTGGTATTGTGGAGGTTGTTTAGTTGGTCAGAAATTGTGGGAAAATAATGGAAAAGTGGATGTTAGGGTTATGGAGCTTGGGTGAAATTATACAGTTTTGTTTTATTGAGCTAAATGAATAAAGTGAGTTTGCAATGTCCATCGTTTCTGGAGACAAATTAATGGAAATGCCTAAGGATTTTGAGGGATTTTGATTTGTTTCTTAATACGGGTTGGCAGTTGGGAAAGGAGATTCTTCAGCTGTTGGTTAAAACTATTTATTATGAGATTATTGTTTTCATATGTCTACTTGCTTGTGCTGGAGAAAATTTTGGAACAAAGTTTGAGGGCTGATTCTAGGAAATTTAGAATTGATTGCCATTGTAATTGATTGGAAAGTGGGATACTTTTGAAATTTATTTTTCTTAGGAAGAATCAAACTAGAATTGAATTGTATGAATTAGATGAACAAGCTGTTCTCTGTTGAATCCAGCTTTATGCGATCCAATTGAATATTAAGATAAAACATTGATGTTTTTAATCTATGATTACTATACGGGCAGTTTAATACTGGTTTTCAATTACTATTCTTTTCCCTTTAGGCGTAAAGATTTGGTCAATTTAGCCCCTCTAGTATTATTTTAAGGAATTTAGTCCTTGTAGTATTATTTTTTAAGGATTTTAGTTCAATCATTAACAATTCTCAGTGACTAAATTCCTTTAAATAATACTATAGGGACTAAATTCTTAAAAATCAAAGAGTACAGGGACGTATGACATATTTTAACCTAAAGATTTGCATATTTATTTGCTCCTCCTCCCCTTTCTCCATTATGTGAAGTTCTAGCTTGAGAGATAATAATTTACTATGAAATGTCACTTATTTGGATAAGTTTGTGTTTCAGGTTGGGTCTTGTCGCAACCATCAAGGTATGCTACCCATTTCAGTGTAAATATATTTTGAATCAGATATAGTGTTTCAGTCTATTACTATGGCTGTGGCATGCACATATATGCATAGACTTGGTCTACTCCATTATTTTAGTGTTTCATGTGTATGTATTATTTAGACTAGTTGGCATTGCTGCCATAGACCAAATAAAGAGTTTATGATGTAATAGACCGTATCATGTCATCGACAATACTAAATTGAAACAAAGTTAAATGCGTAGCATGGCAGGCCTTATAAGAATGATTTGTTTGAAATATAATGTCTTAAGTGTAAATACTGATAAATTTGTGATAAATGAGCCAAATAGAAAGAAGTTATAAATATGAAATTTCAATCTTGTGCATGAGTTGAAAGCCTCAAATACATAAAAACATTACCATAATGGCTGCAGCTTCCTTTCCCAATATGTGCAAGAGCAGAAAGGAGTTATAAATTAAAACTCCAATCTTGTGAATGAGTTGGAAACAAGATCTCTCTCTCTCTCTCTCTATATATATATATATATATATATAAACATTACCATAGCTGCTGCATATCCCTCTTAGAGTCCCAGTGTGCAACAAAAAGAAGTTATAATTTGAACCTCCAATCCTCTGCACGAGTAGAAAGTAGCTTCCCCTGCTCTTAATCACCTTCCAATGAGGAAAAAGAATAAGGTTAGGGTTGGTAGCTGGGCAAGAAAGCATCTTGTACAAAATTGTTGTTAACTGTGATGCGGTAAATAGACATTTAACTAGATCTTAATCATTAACAAGTAAGGAAAAGTTACTAGAAAATCATACACTATTGTTCAATTTATTTATTTATTATTTTACTTATTATTTGAATGTCTTTATAACAGATAATGATGTAGTATTTCAGTTGTGTAAGAACAAAGAATTTATCCATAAAGTATACTGGCCGCCAGTAAAACTTGATGAATTAAATAACCAAAGAAAGTTGGTACTGCATAGAAGGCTAGGATACTCTATAAACTTTGAAAATTTTAAGGTAACAAGGAGGAGAGAGAGGGAGGGAGAGACATCTAGTGATAGTTTCATTGCTTTGCCTTTTAATGAGTGACTGAGCAACGTGCATTTAACACTAGGAAAATGGATGAACATGCAGTTCGCATTTTAACTTAATTCATTTTTTCATAGGTAGTGATATGTAAAGTTTTTTAAAATATCAAAATAATATGGTAAGGATGAACTCTGCCAGGAATAATTCTTACATTCTTAGCAATGGTTGTGAATTGGAAATTCACTTTCCCCCCCCACTTTTAAAAGCTTTTCTTCTTTTATTTTGGAAAGTTTTTTTTTTTTTTTTTTAAACTAGCTTCATTTTCAGTTATATTTGTTTTCTTCATCTGGCCACTGAAATTTTCTTGGACTCACTACCCCTAGTAATCTACTTCTCAATGATTGTCTTCTACTAATCACCATTTACTTTTGAACATGTTTATGCTTCTAAAAGCAAATTATTTTGTATTTGAAGTATTTGTTTAAGCTAAATTGAGAGTTTTCCTATTCATGGCTGGAGCATCTTGTGCTTTACACTTAAATTTTAGCTTGATGACCTTTTCATTCTTTATTATTTTTTGTCTTTTATCAATTTTCATAAGCATGTGATTTATGGGGCTTTTGCCAATGATTGAAGGATCGAGCCAATGAGATATATAAGAAGGTGGAAGACCAGAAGTCTAGTAGAGGAAGAAATCAGGATGCGTTGTTGGCAGCTTGCTTGTACATTGCTTGTCGACAAGAGGACAAGCCACGCACTGTCAAGGGTACAACCTAAGATTCTTTTAACATCTGGATGCTTCATGATTTATCTTTCCTAATGTGTATGAGCTTCCTTGAACCTGTGGATTTCAAATAGAAATTTGCTCTGTCGCAAATGGAGCCACAAAGAAAGAAATTGGTCGAGCAAAAGAATACATAGTGAAACAACTGGGATTGGAGACTGGTCAGTCTGTAGAGATGGGAACCATACATGCTGGTGACTTCATGGTAAGTTCTCTTTTTTTCTTAAAAAACTTGTCTATAACAGTGCTTTCTGTAAACAACTGTGTTTTTGTTTGCCGTATGCTTGGAAGGTTGCACTTCCATTATTGAATATTGTATTGTTCATTTGTGCTAACCATTTTATGGTTGCCACTGACATTAATTTCTTTAATTATCAGAGGCGTTTTTGTTCCAATCTTGGTATGAATAATCAAGCAGTTAAAGCTGCCCAAGAAGCAGTTCAGAAGTCGGAGGAGTTTGATATAAGGTATTTATTATTCTATTTCCATCATGAAGCTGTGAGCCTAAACTGGTTTTTTAAGCTTTTTTCCTTTCAAACAAATTTTAATTTAATGTCCCCTATGACTTGGATAATTCTGTCTGGACCTTTCCAGTTAACAGAATGCATGACTAGAAAGTGGGTATTTAAGTTGATCAATTGACATGATTAGGAAGGAATTAGAGTGTCTGAATTATTGTTTGAATAATGACATGAAGAGAAAGAAGCTGATCAAGTGCTAAAAGACAATTATGGTATTTTGAAATAATTGCCCAAAGTTTTTAAGTACTAGTGTTACGGAGGTGGATTTTGAGGTATTGGTGACTGAGAGGCAAAACCATTTGGGGATGTGGATGTTAATAAGGATCTTGGTGGTATTCATTTTTAAGTCATGCTTCAACTTCAATGACAGTTTTGGTACTCCATCTTCTTGCAAATTAGTTAGATCCGTGTGGTCAAATTGTTTATTCAATTTGATTATTTCACTTTGAACATTTTGATGACTTTGAAAGAAAATAAGAAGAACAGCAATTTAATGCTCCTTCCTGACATTATTCCATGACTTATTATGTCAATCATGTTGCTTTGCTGCTGTTTGTCTCATGCAAAGTGTGTTTCAACATAATAGTGAACATCTTGCTTGCTGTAAAAATGAACTTTCTTTGTCACAACTTTAATGCGTATTTTTGGAATGATTGAATTCTTAGCTTGTAGAATTCTTTTTGATTTCATTGTTCTTTTATTTTTCTTGGAAGCCATGAAATTGAAAATAATTTAAAAAAGTTAGTGGTCGGTTTTTCCAAACACTTTTAAGCATGTTATTAGTGGTTTCTTTAGATGGCTTTTGCAAAGATATGATGGAAAACCAGAGGTTTGTTCCGGTTCTTTTCCAAGGTTCTTCTCTCTCTCTTGAATACCCCTTCCCTCCCTTGCCTTCCCTCTTTCTTTTTTCTCCGGTTCTTTCCACCCCCGTTTGGTTTTTGGGCTAGGATTTAGAAAGAAGAAAGCAGTTAACTTTATCGTAGGGAGTTCTGCCTTTTAGCTCTTTCAGATTTGTTAATGAACTCATTACTTGAGAGTAAGGATTGTTGTATTGAGACATCTGAAATCTTTTTATCATCATTTATCTTCTTTAATGGTTTTACTCACTTATGGCTTTGTATAGGAATTTGCTAACAAAATTTACAAAACTTTTGCAGGCGAAGCCCTATATCAATTGCAGCAGCGGTTATTTATATTATAACACAGCTTTCAGATGATAAGAAGCCTCTTAGAGGTATGATATTTCCCATAGTACTTGTTAAGTAAAAGATATTTCAGAAAAAACTGTAATGTTACCTATTTTGGTTCTTGATACTGTGCTGATTATTGAAGTTTAGGGTCCATGTCTGACTTAACCCAACATGGATGCTTATGGAATGTGTTTGTCCATTAAAAAGAAAAAGCAAAAATAGTGTCTAAATTTTTTGAGCTGTATGAAAAATGCACATATTTTATTATAGAAAATGTGTGGGATGCTGCAGATATTTCAGTTGCTACGGGAGTTGCAGAAGGGACAATCCGAAATTCATACAAGGATCTTTATCCCCATGTTTCAAAGATAATACCAAACTGGTATGCCAAGGAAGAAGATCTCAAGAACCTAATCAGTCCTTGAAGTGCAGATCAAACAACTGACAAGAAAAATGAAAAATCAAATTGGCTGATGATTTTTCTTTTCTTGTTTCTTTTTCGTTCTCTTACAATATAGAGACACAGGAGGAAATCTGGAAAAAGAATCTTCAATCCTAATTTATGTTTCAACTTTGCAGCAACATTTTTGAGTGAGTATTGATATATAAGCGTATGTTGATGCACTCTGTCTCTCCATAAATCAAGGAGTGGAAAAAGGGTCTGCTTGAGAAATATGCTGCTCTTTGAGCAGACAATTACTTCTATGAAAGACACTGACCTTTTCCGCTAAATTCTAGTAGCATAATAATTCTTTCACAAACTCATAAAAGTTTTTTATTTTGATTGTTTTAAAAAACCTTTTTATTAAGGTGACAATTATCTTGTAATTTTAAACACAATATGATAACTAAATAAGAAAAAATCATAAAATTTAAAACTTAAAAAAAATTATATATGACATGACATTTTTTATGTTTTATGTGTTTGAGATTATATGAATACTATATCTAAATTTTAAATTTTAATAATTTTGGTGTGCCATGTGGCACTTGCCATTTTTTTTGCTTTTCAGTTTTTTTTTTTAATTTTTTTAATATTTATTTTTTAAAATATTAAAAAAATTTTGTGAAGCCCATTTTATACCAAATTTTTTGTAGATTTACTTTTAAAAATTTTTAATAAGTATTTATTTAGATTTTAATTCTTCCTATGTAAGGCTCATTGGACATCAAGGGTATGCTATGTATCTACTAATTTTACCTTTTTATTTTTTCTATTATTTTTCTTTTTCATATATTTAATAAATATCTTTTTAGATTTTAATTTTTTTCGTGTGACTCATTGTCTTTTTCTTTTTTTTTTTAAATTTAAAAACCTTTTTGAGAGGAAGTACTATTTAATAAATATTTTTTTAGATTTTAATTTTTATGTGTGACTCACTTTCCTTTTTTTTTTATTTAAAAATCTTTTTAAAGGGAAGTATTGTGTTTTTCTTTTGTTATTTTAAATTTTTATATCTAATAAATATTTTTAAAAAATTTTAAATTCATTTTTGTCTTGCAAACTTGATACAAAGGGTATACTATTTGTTAGGTTATTTTTTATGATTTTTCTCTTTATTTTTTATTTTTTTCTTTTAAATATTTATTTTTTATAATATTTTAACTTTTTAGTAAAATCTAATTGATATTATTGATTAAAAATTATTTTTTTTATTTTTTTTAATTTGATAATTTTTAAGAAAAAAAATGATATTTGGAAAAATTCATCATTGCAGATGTTGCATACCAAATCAATTTTTTTTTGTAATTTTAAAATTTTTCTACCTATATTTTTTAGTTAGATTATTTTATTTAAAACAACATGTACAAGTGACAACAATTTATTTTTTTAAAAATTTTTTTGTTTTAATTTTTTTAATCAAATAATTTACAATAAATAAATTAATAAATAATTTTTTTAAAAAAGTATCAATGAAGGTATGGATAACAAAATAACTAATATTTTATATTATAAATCCTAAACCTAATAATAAGTTTCGATTTGTCTAGATCTTATAAGTGTGTTTTTTTATTTGAGATAGAATTAAAGGTTTTTTTTTTTTGTTTTTTTCAAAAATTAAGGTCAAGTTAAAAACACATTTATGATTTTCTATTTTGCCTTGACTATATATATTAAATTTTATTTTTGATTAATTAATTAATTAATTTAATTTATATATATATTTTATAATAAAAACTTATTTGATATTAATTTAATAAAAATACAATATTTATACGTAATTAAGTCTAATACATCTATTATATTGATTTGACTCGTTTTGACTTTTGTTTAACCCTTGTTAATGTCTTGAAGTCTTACCTCCTATTTTTTCTTTTTTTTTTTTATTTTAGATAAATTTTATGAAAAAAAAGATATAAACGTCCATGTGGAACCTCAATTTGCTTTTTTTTTTTTTCATTGTGTTTTTTAGTTAAATAAATTTTGAAAATCAAAGGAATTGATAAATAAGAATGGTAAGACAATTCGTCTCTTGATAGGTTACCACTCAATTGGGATGTTTATGTAATACCCAAATGAGATTTTTTTTCTTTTTTCCTTTTTTGCGTTTTTGTCAATTTTATTCAAGTAATTTTGTGAAAAAAATCCAATGAAGATACCGATGTGGCATCCAATTTAGTAATTTTGCAACAAATACTATCAATTGATAAATATACAAAAATGTTTGATATCTTACCGATTTTCAAATCATCTCAATTCGATAAGAAATGAATTTTTAAATTGGGATTAAGGTGAGATGGATCAAGTTCTTTAAAGAAAATTAAGTTTGAGTAAGAAAATCGTATTTAGAGTACTTTACCCTTCTTATTTTGAGTATATATATTTTAATTTTATACATATATATGTATTCTATTGATAAAGTTATTTTTTTATCTTAATTTAAGAAATTAAAATTTTAAACTCAATATGTGATGTTAATGTAGAACTCTGAGTCTTTTTTTTCTTTTTTTTTTTTATTTTCATTTTTGTATTTTTTGATTTATTTTTTATTAGATAAATTTTATAAAAAATGTTAATTAAAATATTCACATGTCATTTTTTTATCTTTGGTTTTTAATTAAATAAATTTTATAAAAAAAATATGGTAAATAGGGATTACAAAACAAAGAAAAAATTTTATATTATTTTTATATTTTTCTAGTAAATATAAAAATTATTAAAACAAACTGATCCAATATAAATTCTAAGAAACTATCTCTATAGTTTTCACCCTAAATTGGGAACCAATGCTAAAGACGTGGGAAACAATCAGCCCTCAAAATATTTTAAAAAATACAACCACATTCCAAGTCGTATGCTTCTTATATATAACACCAACTCCGACACAAGACGAGCAACTTATCCATATTCCTCCAACAACATTGGGAGAGAGAGACTGATTCCTCCGGCATCTTCCCTATAATGACAAACCAAGAAAACTCGGTGGCTGTGGTGATTGTGCCATTTCCAGCACAAGGCCATCTCAACCAGCTGCTTCACCTCTCTCGGACCTTCCTCTCGTATGGCATCCCGGTCCATTATGTTGGTACGTCCACACACAACCGCCAGGCAAAGGTCCGAGTCAACAGTTGGCACCCGACGGCTGTTGCCAATTTCCATGTCCATGACTGCCAAGTTCCTCCTTTTCTTTCCCCTGCTCCAAACCCCAATGCAGCAATCAAGTTCCCTTCTCATCTGCAGCCATGTTTTGATGCCACCTGGCATCTTCGTGAGCCTGTCACTGAACTGTTACACATGCTTTCTTCACAAGCAAGAAAGGTCATTGTAATTCATGACTCTATGATGGGGTCTGTGGTTCAAGAAATTGGTTCAATCCCTAATGCAGAGTCCTATGCCTTCCACAGTGTTTCTGCTTTTTCTGTCTTTTTTTTTTTTTTATGGGAATCAATGGGGAAACCACAAGTTAATGCAGAAATGCCTGACGATGAAGGTGACGTTCCTTCTCTTGAAGGATGCTTCACCAATGATTTCTTGGAGTTCATCGCGTTTCAATACCAACATCTCAGCGTCAATGCTGGGAGTATATACAACACAAGCAAAGTGATTGAAGGTGCATACTTGGAGTTGCTTGGAGAAACAATAAGACAAAGCAACATTGGGCTTTAGGGCCATTTAGTCCGGTAAGAATAGCTGAGAAAAATAGCTCGGCTACGCGGCACTGCTGCTTGGAATGGCTTGACAAACAGGATATGAACTCTATTCTTTACATATCTTTCGGGACAACAACCGCCGTGGATGACGAGCAAATCAAGGAGCTGGCGATTGGTTTGAGGAAAAGCAATCAAAAGTTCATTTGGGTATTAAAAGATGCAGACAAAGGAGATGTTTTCAACGGCGAAGTTAGAACACCTGAGCTTCCTAAAGGGTACGAAGATTCAGTGAAAGATATTGGGTTGGTGGTGAGAGATTGGGCACCTCAGCTGGAGATGTTAGCCCACCCAGGAACAGGTGGCTTTGTGAGCAACTGTGGCTGGAATTCTTGCATGGAAAGCATTACCATGGGAGTACCAATAGGGGCCTGGCCTATGCAGTCTGACCAACCAAGAAATGCAGTGCTAATCACAAAATTGCTCAAAGTTGGCAATGCTGTTAAGGACTGGGCACACCGGTTTGGACAGTTACAGCATCAATAGTTGAAGATGCTGTAAAACGTTTGTTGGCTTTCAAGGAAGGATTTAAGGAAGAGGGCAGCTGAACTAGGTGGTGCCGTGCGGCAGTAGGTGGGTGAAGGTGAGGTTTCTCGGAAGGAGTGGGACTCCTTCATTACTCATATCACTAACTAGGTTTATCCTTGTAATTACTAAAGTACAATATCAAAGTTTCTTTCAACTAAGTATTTCAATTTCAATCTATATTTGAAATAAAATGCAGTGACTTTCCTTTTCGGTCTTTAAATCTGTGAAAAAAATTTGTGGAAACGAGAAAAGGGAAAAGAAAATTGTTATGCCCAATTCCACCGTATTCATCATACATAAAATATGTATTTTTTATCCATCAAATATGTATAATTTTGAAATTGAATATAATTTGTTCATACCATTATTCTTGAAAGATGATATTTAACATGTATGGAGTTCAAGTCTTATTGTATATGTGTTTGATTGTTCAGTCATGTTATAATTTGTTAATTGATTATTCAAAAATTGTAATTTGATTATGTAATAATTGTTTATTTAATTGATTATATAAATATAATAGTTAAATGTAACTTTAAAAAAATATATATAAAAAATTTGAATTTCAATACGTGTAATTTCTTTCCTTTTTTTAAGTTACAATCTTTTTTGTATATATATATATATATATATATATAAATTAGTATGTTTTAAATTATATTCAAAAATTGAAATTTTATAACATCTATAACATTTTACATTTGACTAACTTGTCATAAATTTTTTTAAAAAAAGCAAAAAAAATGACTTGTTTTCACTTTACAATAATTTTATATACATTACAATTGGATGGCTTATAAAATGCAGATGATTGAACACATTCTTTATTTGCAATAATAGATATACATATAAAATTTATATTAAATAAAAATAAATTACATATCTTTCTTAAAAGAACAAAAGCATATATATTATGAAATGATAAATTAAATAATAAAAAAGTATAAGCATATTTTCACTTTGTAATTTTTTTCAAACTACTATAAAAAATATAAAAAATATTAAGAGATGTGTGAAAAAATTTTAAAAAAAATTAATTTCATAAGAATAAACTTGCAATAGTAATAGAATATACCTTGAAAAAAGAAAGATACAAACCGAAAAAATAAATTGCAATAGCAATAGAATTTCACAAAACAATAAATTTAAAAAATAAAAAAAATGATACAATACATTACATTTATAATTTTTAATTTGTAGAATAA